ACTATATTTTTGGCTTAGGTTGGACAGCGCTGTAGGGGAGCCTACATCGCCGTTCCAGAAGTTTCTGGAAATCCAACCTTGGCTCAACAGCGATGTCTAACATCCAACATCGCTGTTGGAAGACTTAACGCCAAACCATGGTTTTCAGCCACCCAAGCCAGACAGCGCTGTTGGTTTCACCAACATCGCTGTTGGGCTGGTTTAGCCAGACCCATGGTTGGTTTAGTCAGCCGTTAGCCGATGTCAAAAATGTAAGTTCTCCAAACTAAAAACCAAGTATTGAAAATGTTTGTTTAATGAATTTTGCTAAGAAATCAAGTAAAATGTTTTGAAAACCACGTCATTTAGTTGAAAACCTCGGCTAGCCAAGTTTACGCTGTTTCGCATGGTTTTCACTAAACGACCAAAAACGAAAGGTGGTTTTTGAAGCGTTTTTGTTGGAGAACTATTTAAATGTGCCCAGAAGTAAAAACCAGTCATAAGAGGTTGAAAACCACTTGATTGGTTCGGACGCCAAAAACCAATGCCGAAAACCGAAAGCCGAACGCCGGTTTCTGAAAGCCGAACGCCGGATGGCTTGGTTTTTGGCTTGGGCGAACTCCAAGTGTTTTGAGCCAAGTTTAAAACTTAAGAAAAATATTTTTGAAAATGTAAAAGAGATTTTTATGAATTGAGCCTAGAGAGCCAAGATTTGGAATTTTGTGCCGGTCTTGATCACATTAAGACCGACTCAATACAATTCTAGTTCTTCGTTCTTGATTCTGGGTTCTTGGTTCTCAAGTCATCATGTCATGTTCCTTCGCTTTAGTTTTGCTCACTTTAGCTTCGATATGTCGCGGCGGTTTGGCATTATCCAAACCTGTCATAAAGACGAACACAGTTTGGTACGACGGAGGCGTAAACCCGTGTTCCAACAGGGGTTTCCATATTTAGTCCTCTATTATCAAATATTACCCCCGTAGTCCTTTTTTTAAGGGTACCTTTCCACAAATGGTCCTTTTTTTTATCTTCTGCCGTGTTGGTGTTAATTTAAAGACTAAAAGTATAATTTGACGTCAACATTATGTCTAATGACGTGTTCTGATATTGGTTAAGCGGATAACACAAAAATAATGACTATGATTGTGGGCTAGGATTCTGACGAAAGATCACATTTGTAGACTATAGTTGTCGTAAAAAGCGACTGTAATTCACAAACGATGCAAACGGAACATCCTTTGGAATTGTGTATGACAAAAAAGATATATTATCATTGTGAAATTATACTTTTAGCCATCGAATTAACACCAACATGATAGAAGATCAAAAAAAGGACTATTTGTGGAAAGGTACCCATAAAAGAAGAACCACTTTGGTAATATTTGATAATAGAGGACTAAATAGGGAAACCCCCCCTGTTATAAAGGACCAATTATAGAATTTACTCGCTTCTGACACTAGGAACCTTCGGTTAGCTTTATCAACTGATGGATTCAATCCATTCTGTGGAGTTTCTACAACGTACTCATGCTGGCCAGTTTTAATATCGATTTACAACTTACCACCTTGGTTGTGTATGAAGAGAAAGTATATAACCTTAAGCATGTTGATATCATGATACGGGGGTTATTCCCGCCCATGACGACCCAGCAGATCGTTCGGCTCTTCAACGCGTTCATCCAAAGCAGTCCATTCGGGCCCCTAAACGTTATTCGGATTATATTTAATTCTTTCCTATTTTGATTTATTGTAATTTAGATTTTCCTAGGTGAGCAAAATATAAGCTCCTTCGAGGGTTTCTTTTCGGTTCTTTACCTCGTCGCTTTTCTTGAACCGACAGGATAGGTAACCTAGTTTAAGTAGGATTGGGAGAAACCAATTGTTATTTAAAGGGTGTTGAACTCTCTCAACAACTCAAGAAATAAGAAAACTCTCCTCTCTCCCACATTCTCTCTCTCTCTCTCACGTCTCTCTCCCCAAAACCCTAAGCTGCGCACAACCTCTGTGCGGCAGCAGCTTCCCCTCTGTCCCCTTGCAGGGCTTTGTTGGTATTGTAATGAAAAGTGGGACCGGTCCCATAATTGCCGCTGCCGGTTCTTAACGCCCATGGGCCCCGATGATGACGAACCGTCCCTTGATGCGGAGAAACCATCCGACCCGACAGACTTCACTCCCGTTATCACCGGCGACATCTCGAGCATCCATTCAATGTCCGGCAGCCCGAGTCCGCGGTCTCTCAAATTGGCTGGCTCCGTGCATGGTACAGCCGTCCAGGTTCTTTTGGACAGTGGGAGCACCCACAACTTCATCCACCCCGGGGTGGCCGAACGCCTCGCCCTGGTCCTTCATCCTGTCACACCCTTCCGCGTCTACGTCGGTAATGGTGACTCACTTCGTTGCTCTTACAATTGCCCGCGGACGCCATTATCTCTCCAAGGCCATCTTTTTGAAATTGATTTATACATGCTGGAAGTTCATGGCCCCGATATTGTACTCGGAATTGAGTGGTTGCAAACTTTGGGCAAGGTGGCACACGACTATGCGAAATTAACCATGGAATTCATTTGGAATGGCGACACCATCACATTACGGGGCGACTCTCCTAGCCCGCGTCTGGTATCCTACAATCAGTTGAGCGCCCTCCTTGCCGCACCCGAGCCAGTCGACTTATATGAAGTGGTGGGCACCGCTGTGGAGCTGCCGCCGGTCACGACTGAGGACCCGTCGTTCCCTCCTAATCTACCAGAACCCATCCGCGACTTGCTTACTCAGCACTCACCGGTGTTTGGAACACCAACCGGCCTCCCACCAGCCCGTTTTTGGGATCACCGTGTTCACCTCACACCGGGTACTCGGCCAATCAACGTCCGACCCTATCGATACCCCTACTTTCAAAAGGCGGAGATTGAACGACAGGTCCGGGACATGCTTCACCAGGGCATCATTCGGCCGATCCAAAGCCCCTTCTCTTCGCCGGTATTACTCGTCCGTAAAAAGGACGGTACTTTCCGATTCTGCGTGGACTATCGGGCCCTCAACACCGCTACAATCCCGGATCACTTTCCCGTCCCCACTTCGGATGAGTTATTTGACGAACTGGGGTCGGCTCGAGTGTTTACCAAACTGGATCTCAGGTCGGGCTATCATCAGATTCGCATGCATGCGGACGACATCTTCAAAACAGCCTCCGGACACATGACGGTCATTACGAGTTCTTGGTCATGCCCTTCTGTCTCACTAATGCTCCATCAACCTTTTAAGCCGCAATGAACAGTTTGTTCTGGGAATACCTACGACAGTTTGTGATTGTCTTTTTCGATGACATTCTGGTCTATAGCCCTACTACCGAAGCTCATGTCCATCACCTGGCCACTGTATTGGAGACACTTCGCCACCACACCTTCTTTATTAAGCTTTCGAAGTGTTCTTTCTGTCAAGCACAAATTGGTTACTTAGGGCATCTCATTGAGGCCGGGGAATTGAAACCAGACCCGGATAAGATTGCAGCCATGGCAGCCTGGCCGAAACCCACCACTGTCACTCAGCTTCGGGCCTTCCTCGGCTTAACAGGTTATTACCGTCGGTTCGTCGCCGGGTATGCCGTCGTAGCCGCCCCCCTGACCGACCTCCTTAAGAAAAATAGCTTCCAGTGGGACGCCAAAGCAGACGAGAGTTTCGAGGCATTGAAACGGGCCATGACTATGGCGCCAGTCCTACGCCTCCCGGATTTCTCCCAAGTCTTTTATTTGGAAACCGATGCTTCGAATTTTGGGGTGGGCGCCGTATTGCTCTAGCATGGACACTCGTTGGCCTTCTTTAGTAAGAAATTGGGACCCCGGCGACGTATGGCGTCCACGTACCACAAAGAATTATATGCGATTGTTGAAGCGGTTCAAAAGTGGCGCCAATACTTGCTCGGTCGAGAATTTGTGATTCGAAGCGACCAGCGCAGTCTCAAGGAACTCCTTCTCCAGGTCGTCCAGACCCTGGACCAGCAATTTTACATTCGGAAATTAATGGGGTATAAGTTCCGTATTGAATATAAGACGGGGGCCTCTAACCGTGCTGCCGATGCACTGTCCCGACGAGAAGATGAAGCAGAGGTAGCCTCTCTGCTCTTGACCTATGCACGGCCTCAGCCCAAGCTCCTGGATGATGTCGCTACGGAAAACACCCCGTCCCCGGAACTCCGCCAACTTCATGAAGCTGTGGCAGCGGGAACAGCAAAACCAGGTTTCACTGTACACTCCGGTATCCTTTACTATAATCACCGTCTGGTCTTGGCATCCTCCTCACCTCTACGCCACCATCTACTGGTCGAGTACCATAGCTCCCCCGATGGCCGGACATCAAGGCGTGGAGCGCACCTTCCGTCGCCTCGTCACCACTTTTTATTGGCCCGGCATGCGCACGGATGTCCGGCGTTTTGTGGCAGCGTGTTTGGCATGTCAAGCAACCAAGTACTCCACCCGTAAGCCCGCGGGTCTACTCCAGCCACTTCCAGTTCCGGATCGCGTATGGGAGTCTGCGTCCATGGACTTTATCACCGGCCTTCCCCCGTCGCGTGGGCTCTCGGCTATTCTCGTCGTCGTCGACCGTCTCACAAAGTACGCCCATTTTGGGACCCTGCCAGGCGATTTTGATGAACCTCGTGTGGCTCAGCTATTTATTGACATTGTCGTTAAACACCATGGGTATCCCGCCGACATCGTCTCCGATCGCGACTCAATCTTCATGAGCCTCTTTTGGAAAGAATTGATGCGTCTCAGTGGCACCACGTTGAATTTTAGTACTGCTTATCATCCCCAAACAGACGGTCAGATGGAGGTCACCAATCGGAGTTTGGAACAGTATTTGCGAGCATTTGTCCACGAACGGCCGACAAAGTGGTGCACCTTTTTACCATGGGCTGAACTGGCCTTGAATTGCAGCACGAACGAGAGTATTGGCATGTCTCCATATCACGCCTTGTATGGCCGTCTGCCTCCTTCCCTTTTCCCGACCATGTCCATCCGTTCGCGGGTTGCTTCAGTGGAGGAACTGTTACGTGAGCGTGCTGCATTACTCACAGACTTGAAGACACATTTGACCGCCATGCATCAACGAATGGCTACCTAGGCAAATGCACATCGCAGGGAGGTCTCTTATGCCATCGGTGATTTGATACTTTTGAAGCTCCGCCCGTATCGCCAACACTCCGTCGCACGCCCACTCTCAACGAAGCTCTCTCGGCGATTTTATGGACCTTTTCCCACTTTGGAACGGGTCGGCCTGGTCGCTTACAGATTGCAACTTCCGCCAGATTGCCGGATCCACAATGTCTTCCATGTTTCTCTCCTGCGGCCCTTTGTTCAAACCGGTGCTACTCTTCCGCCCGTCACCCTTCCCGCTGATTTCTATAAAGGCCGTCCTGTTTCGGTCCCGGTGAAGGCGCTGGCTACACGGACAATTTTGGTGGATGGCTCCCCGCAAGACCAATGGCTGATTCGTTGGTCCGACGGTGGGCCGGAAGACAGTACGTGGGAACCCGTTGCCGACATCCAGCGATACTTCCCCACTCTCGGCCTTGAGGACAAGGCTGTTTCCAACCGGGAGGGAGTTGATACGGGGGTTATTCCCGCCCATGACGACCCAGCAGATCGTTCGGCTCTTCAACGCGTTCGTCCAAAGCGGTCCATTCGGGCCCCTAAACGTTATTCGGATTATATTTAATTCTTTCCTATTTTGATTTATTGTAATTTAGATTTTCCTAGGTGAGCAAAATATAAGCTCCTTCGAGGGTTTCTTTTCGGTTCTTTACCTCGTCGCTTTTCTTGAATCGGCAGGATAGGTAACCTAGTGACAGTTGTAGTTTTTCGGGTAGTAAACCTTCCAAGTAAAGGGTTAGTTTTCTCTCCGAGTGTCGTATCTCTCGAGGAGTGGACGAAGGGAATTAGTTTAATTACTCTAATTAGGCGAAGATTAGGATTGGTTTATGAAAGTCTTCTCGAAACGATTATAAAAGGAGCAGAGTAAAAAAAATAATAAATTAAGTTTACATAGTATAAGTATAGATCTGGACCTAGGGTCAGGACATTATTTGGATCTATTTTATCATATTAAATTAACAATTGGAATAATAATATTTCTATTACTACTCATCCATTTCTAGATTTGTACTTAATCTGTTGCACTTGAATATCGTAGCCTTTTAGCATACAATATCTTCTCAGTAAATAGTTAATTAAATCTTTCGAGAATAATTAACTAAATAAGGCAAGAACAATAAATTAACCATTCCAACATTAATTTAACATCAAAAAAATAAACAACCAAACTAGCCCAGACCCAGAGATCCGGACCCTAACTCATACTATGCAAACATAAATTAAAATAGCATTTTATTAAATAAAGAAAACTTACAACCTCCGTAAACGCGGAACAGAACAGATCTGGAGTCAAAACCTCCGAAAATACTTCAAACTAACTACTAAAACTAATATACAAGCTAAAATGGAGACGGTATATGTAAATCCCGAAGTTGGGATGGAATGGGATGATAAAAATGAGAAGATTCGTGCTGTATTTATAGGAATGGATCCAAGGCCCCAAGTCAAAGCGTCCAAGTCCAAGCGTCCAGATCTGGACGCCTGAGCTGTCCCGGCCAACCAGATTTTGCCACGTGTCATTCTTGGGCTGCAATTCAGCCAAGGCGTCCAACTCCCAAGCGTCCAACTTGGCCAAGCGTCCAAGTTGGACGCCTGGAGGCCTTGGTCCGTTGGGCTTCGCGGCTGATTCGTGATTTTGGCCCAATTTCGCTCCGTTTTGGCCCCAAACACTGTTTTTGACCTCCTGGAAGCTCGTTCAAGCCCGAATCTTGATCCTTTGATGATTTATTCCCCTTTTCTCAAATACTTGAACAAAAATGGATGATTTATGATGATTTCATGTGGGATCCCATTTTATGACTCTTAGAACGAAAATGAGAGTGTTATCCATTAAATCCACATTTTATGAGATGATTAAATACTATTTACGTGCAATAACGTTTAGAATATGATGTAAAAGATAAGAACGAAACGGACTTATCAAATTCCTCACACTTAAACGTTGCTTGCCCTCAAGCAACAAATTGAATAATTACAAGTATAAAGGCAAATTAATAATTGCAGAGGGAAGGTTTAAGCTACATATTATGAAGGAAAAAAGAAATAAGATAGTCATCATCCTTTTTGTTAAGAAGAAATGAACCTTTAGATTCTCACCCATATTGTTAGAAATGTAAAAGAATTTTGTCAAATCAATATTTTTACACCAACCTAAACAACCATAATTTTCCAAACTTTCTTTGGGATAACTACATTTGTAAGAGTACTTTAAAGATCAAATAATTTTTTTAATGACTAAATTGGAAAACATGTTCTTGCAAAAGTATTTGTCAAAGTGTAAGGGTTTAATTTTCTTTGGCATAA